GCCGACTGCGGTTTGAGTCCAGACCTGGTGGCTTAAACTCACGCTGGGTGCGTGTGCGTGCGTGCCCAAGATCCCGAGAGGAGAATGGAGAAGGGATTGCAGTGTTGCCATCCCCCCTGGGGGGTGATTTCTCGCTTTCTATCTCTCTATCTCTCTCTGTCTCTCTGGCAAGCACATGCACCTTATAGCAAAAACCTCTCCAAAAAAAAAAAAAAAAAAAGAAAGAAAAAAAAGTTCTTTCCTTCATGAGAGAAAAGAAAGCGCCCTTGACAGGGCTTTGCCACACGGAAAACCCCCACCCCCAGGGTCTTCCAGCCAGCCAGGATCTGAGGTATGCCTAAGGGACCTAGAACTCTGAGATCCCAACACCGAACCTCCCCGTATGACCCCAGCATCACCCGATGGTGTCCAATGCCTCCACATCACAGCTAGGCTCCTTTTAGTAAATCCATAGTTATTAGCATGTGTTATTTTGTTTCCAAATATTTGGAGTTGTTTTGTTTTGTTTTGTTTTAGCTTGCTTTGTTAAGAATTTCTATTTTAATTTCATTGTGACTGGCACACATAGTCTATGATTTCGATCCTTTGCAAGTTGCTGAGACTCGTTTATGACCAGATTTCTTCATGGCATATAGTCTGTCCTAGTCTAGCAATAGTCCATTTTTCATGTGCACTCGGACAGATGGATATTCTGCAGTTACTGGGGATGGTGTTCTAGAAATGGTGATTCGATTAACTTGTTGGATAACATTCGAACTTCCCTGACTATGTTTTGATCCATTTATTCTACATTCCTCAGATGGGTGCTAACATTTTCAAATATTACTGTGGATTTTTCTATTTTTCTTCTTAGTTTCTTTCCGTTTAAGCTTCATGTATTTAGAAGCCTGTTTTCAGGGACATAAAGGTTTAATGAAGACTGTCATCCTAATGAGTGCCCTGTTTTTATTTTTGGTAATTCTTTTACTCCGGAAGACGACTATGTCAGATATTGATACGAATGCTTCGGTTTTCTTATTATTTCTTATTATTCGCATGGTATATTTTCCCCACTTTTCCTTTTTGCTATAGGGCACATTTGCTCATGGGAGAAAGATGGAGGAAGATGCAGAGAAGGAAAGTGAGAAATCAGCCCCTGGGGGAGGGCCAAGTTGCAATCCCTTCTCCTCCATTCTCCTCTAGGGATTTTGGGCATACATGCATATGTGTCTGGTGTGATTTTCATGTTGCAAGGTCCAGGACTAGAACCACATAGTTGGCCATGTGGGATCCAGGAGCCTTAACCTCTACGCCACCTGCTGCCTCGCCCACATGTTTACTTCAAACCATTTGCCTTTATATTTAAAGAGTGTCTCTTGTAAACAACATATACTTGATTCTTGCTAGTTTTTTTCTTTAGGTTTTAAATGTTTTTTTTTTTTCTTCCCATATTCATATGTGCTCACTGAAGAAAAACAGAAAGTGAGAGGGAGAAAGTGAGAAATCACCCCCCAAGGGGAACGGCCATGCTATAATCTCCTCTCCACCATCAGGATTTGGGGCACACATGCTCGTGTGCCCACTATGATTTTCAAGCCTCTGGGTCTTGGACTTGTATCACAGTTGGCCATAAGGGAGTTCAGCACTGTAACCTCCAACCAGCACACTTCCTGCCGCCCCCGATTCTTGCTGTTTTATTCAATCTGATGATGTTTCATTTAGTCTTGAGTCAAGTTCTACTTCATGTAATTATTAATGTGGTCAGATTTAAGCCCATTCACTTGCTATCTCTTATTTGTGCCATATGCTCTTGGTTCATGTTTTTCTTCTTCTTTCAGATTAAATATTACTTAGTATTCCATCTTATTGCCTTTTTTGGCTTTAGTTATATCTTTGATTAATAAAGAACATTGTAGGGGCCAGCAGGTAGCATGGTGGTTGGTACACTGGATTCCACCCACTTGTCCAACCACGGTTTGAGTCCTGGACCTGAAGCCTTGCTTTCTCACCTTCCCTCTCTCTGTCTCTTTCTGTTGAGTGCACATGCCTGATAGCAAAATATTTAAAACTAATAATAAGTAAGATTAAATACATAATTCTTAAAATTATGTTTTGCCCTGCAGATTATAGTATATGTGTTTCCAAGGGGTCAGGCCCAGCTGACCTAATCACATTGAATTAGCCCAACTGTGGTGTCCTGAGTGTAGACATACTAGTTTTGTGTTAAACGAAAGAAACAGGTCAAAATGATTTTTATGTAGTTTGCACTTCTGTGATTAAAAAGTGCTTCAACCCTAAAAAAAATTATACACATGCACACACACATATATATTTATATACATACACACATATATCTTATTGTCCTCAGTGAGAAGTCCACAGGCCTTATCATTACTTATTTTGAAAGATTTATGAGCCAGCTCCTGCTAGTATTGCCCACCTCCCTCCCCACCCCAGAAGCTCCAGTGGTATCGGTTTTGCTGCGGCTCATGATGGTGGTCACCATCTCCCACCTTCAGGGCCCCAGCCGAACAGTTCCTTCTGCTTCCAACACGCCACCTTCTAGCTACCTAGCCAGCACTTATCCTTCAGTGCTGAACCATCATTTCCCAAGAATTCAGAATTTGTAACTTACTCGCCTTCCTCCAAGTTGCTATTTAGAGAGACTCAGTCCCCTTCTTTGGTCTTGTCCCTTCTCTCAGGCATTACTGCTCTTCGTTGAAGAGGTTATGTAAACGGGAATTCAAAGTCGCCTCTTTTTGAGAACTGTTCATTCCATGGGCACTTCCTATCTTCACAGGAAACATGTATGCAATAAGTATCTTTGTTTTTCTCTTGCTAACCTGCTGTCTGAGGATGGAGAGTTATTCTTTTTCCTTGGGGGAGAGGTATTTTCTTGATTTTGCATATTTCCTGTGCCCCTGGTGATTTCTAGTCATCTGATGGGTTATTCGTTTCTTCCTAACTCCTAGGACATCAGTCTGAGTGATCAGAGGCGCACAGGATGATGTGGTCTGCGAAATCTTTGGCATTGAGTTTTTCTCCAGGGGCTCTACCAGGGTAAATTCTCAGCAGATCATCTTCTTTGCCTTATCTCTGAAATCACTAGATCCATCTGTGGGGGATTTTATTTAATTTTATAAGTTCTTGAAATGGAAATGTATTTGTTATATATATATTATATATATATATATCCGGCTGGAAAATAGCATTTGGTATGCTGCTATGATGATGTTCAGTGAAAGTATGTAAAATAAATTAATTAATAAAAAATTTCAAAAAATTCCCCACAGATGAAAGCAGGAAAAATTGCAAACTCCAGGGACAGACTCTCACAGAGGAAGGATACTTTAAGGGTGTTCTCAGCTTAATTTGGAAAGGCTTTTCTGTGGGTAACAGCCACACATACATCTGCCAAGAAATTTCTGTGACTCTGCTACCTTTGAAAATGGAGAACTAAGGTGAGGAGGCAAAGGGAGACAGCATGCTGGCCAGGTGGACCTGAGCCCAAGATGTCAGCCAGGGACCAAGGTGCCCCTGGTGGGCTCAGGCCAGAGGGAAGATGGCAGTAGACAGGCCTCCCTTTCCTCACAGGGATCTCCAACCCTCTACCACTTCTCCCTCTCGCACTACTCCTCTTGGCACCCGCCAGCTGGGCCTGGAGAAGGAAGCCAGGGCCCCACTCTCACAGGGTGAGGTCATGTGTTTGCCCTCTAAGGTGCAGGCCCCACATAGTGTCCTCTATCCTGAGTCTGGAGCTGGCAAAGGGCATCTTGAACAGTCCTGGAAGCCTGGCCCAGGAAAGAATGTTCAGCCTGCTTCTGAATTAACAGTATAAACCCTGAGCCATCCAGACCCTATCTTGCTCTCCTCTAAATTTCTTCTCTCAGTGCTTACCCTGGCCTGTAGACTGAGTAATCATTTATCTGGAGAGGGCCCCCTTTGCATTCTTCAGTGGAGAAGCATTTTGTGGCCCTTGAACACAGGGAGACAGGAAGGTATAAATATTCTTTCTCTTCTTAGCGCTATAGGCACATAGGACCAGACCCACATCCGCCAGTCAGTGAACCATGAAAAGAGGAATAACCAAGACCCACCTCAGCACCCTGTCTGGAACAGTTTGCCACCTCTAAGCCCTGAGTCCCCGTTCCAGCTTTTTACCCTTGCTATACAAATAAGGCAAAGTGGATAAATCTGGAAGATTGAATACTAAGCGAAGCAGCCAGACTATGAGTGAGAAACATTGTATGTCCCCACTGAATATGTACCGAATACCTGCAACTCTAGGGCAGAAACTGGGAGATGGGAAGGTCCAATAGAGATGGCAACTGTAGATACCACAGTATGGGAGGGAGGGATTGGGGGAAAAACATTTAACAGACCCATGAATGAAGTTATCTGTGATGATAATGTATACGGTAATATCTTTGACATGATTGATATGCACTGCATCCATGCTGGAAATAACACATTTTGTACACTGTAAAGGTGCACAGTGAGTAAATGTAAACTTAAAAAAATGTTTTTTAAAAAAAGTTTAAAAATCGTGGGGAAAACATCAAGCTTTTGTTTCCTTTTCCTGAAGACAGTTCTTGAGGACGCTGATCTGCCATCTTTTCGGCTCGATGGCTTCCGGAATAAAGCACCTTCCCTTTCCCAAAGCCTTGACTCCTGACCTATTATTGGCTGTTGTGGGGAAGTGCCGCCAGCTTGGACCAAGTACCCGAGCCCACTTGGACTGGGCGGGCGGCGCCCGGTAGGCTCGGCCCTCCAGTGCTTAAGTGCCGGCAGCCGCGGGGGCGTTTCCTGGCAGAGGAAACCGACACGTCCCCGGACTGCGGAGAGCAGCGCTCGCTCGCCAGCTCCGCCAAGTAGGTGCGATCCTGACTCTGCAGAGAAGAAAGCCTTCCGGGCCGCGCTCTGTGCACTGTGCAGAAGTCGCTGCCCTTCCGTCCCAAAGCCCTTGAAACCGATCCCACGTCCTCTGCCTGGAAACCTGGAGCGGTCTCTCGCGACGGGTCCTCCCCTGGAAAGGGCCTTTCCGCTTTCCACACGCGGCCGCTGCCTCACTCGCGGGATCCTGCCTGGCCGGGCAGGGAAGACAGGGTGAGGACTCGCCGCTGCCCGGTGTCCCCGGACCCCAAGCCGTGCCGCCCAGCCCCCTCCACCCGCCACGCCGCGCTGCTGCCTGGGACCTGGGCTGCGGGAGGGACCGAAGGAAGCGCCCGGGGCCGCGTAGGTTTCGGCCGGTGACCCAGCAGAGGTGTGTCGCTGTCTGTGCTTCAGGCGAGGCGTTAGGATATAATGATCCCCGTGTTGGTGAGCTTTGGCCGCCAGCCAGGATTCGTTCTGAGCGCTTCAGCCTCATTAATACCCTTTTGATATCTCACTGTCCCCCCAAGAGGCGGTTAGTGTCCCCCCACTGTGCGGCTGAGAGCTGGCTAACAGAAATGTGGAAACTTAACGTCTGTCGGCAGGACCCAGGCCACCCTCTCCTGGTGGCCACGCCTCGTCCCCACCCTCCTTCTGCCCTAGACAGCTCAGTAAACTCATCCCATCCTTCACCCCACAAGACCCTGGTGCTCCCAGGCAATGCTCTGCCTGGAAAATTTGAACCTGGCTTTTTGAAGTCGAGGTCAGCAGGGGTGGAAAGAACTCCTTAGGCTGCGGAATCAAAAACTTCTACCGGAGTGTACCGAGTTAAAGCAGCAATACACTCAAGTTGCACAAACGTAGAGGTGCAGTTTTAGCGCATAATAGGTTCTTCACAGATTTTTTTTTTTTTAGAGATTTTTGCTATAGGGCACGTGTGCTCACCAGAAAGACAGAGACAGAGAGACAGAAAATCACCCCCCAGGGGGGATGACCACACCGCAATCCCTTCTCCATTCTCCTCTCGAGATCTTGGGCATGCACGCACATGTGCTTGGAGTGAGTTTAGGCCACCAGGTCTGGGACTTGAACCACGGTCGACTACATGGGAGTCCAGTGACATAGCCATTACGCTAACTGCTGGTCCCTTCTTTATACATTTTACTGGTTGAAGCGATCATACACATGATCACCACTGGTAAGGGACACAGGAAATGATGACTACCAACACTTGAAGGAAGGAGCAGATAAGAGGATGGAGACCCCAAGTCTCCAACCCATTTTTAAAAATATTTTTTAAATTTTATTTATTATTATTATTAATTTGCTATAGAGCACATGTGTGCACCAGAGAGAGTAAGAGCAAGCCACCAGGTCTGGGACTCAAACCATGATCCACCATGTAGGAGTCCAGTGCCTTACCCACCACACCACCTGCAGGCCCTCCAATTCAGCTTTAATGTTGGATGCTATGGGAAGCCATTGAGCAGGCTGTGCATTGAGTGCTTTTTCTCTTTTTGCAGATGTTCCCCTTACCTCAGAAGGAATCCAGGGCGTCTGCCACCTGTCCAGGCCCAGACTCCACACAGGAGCTGAGCAGAAACAATGGGGGTGGTCTGGAAGAAGGGTGCTCCAGGAATCCAGACCAGAAGGGGCTAAAGCTTTACCAAGTGGGCGATCCCACTGCCACGTTCTCCTGTGACAGCTCCTGCCTGTCCTCTAGAGGGAAAATCGTTAAATGGTTCTGGGACTCAGCTGAGAAGGGCTACAGGACCTACCATGAGAACGAATATGATGAGGACAAGAACCCCAGTGTAAGAGACCCCCCACTGGGACTCGAGAGGGGACTGGAGCGTGGGGTACCCTACCTTGACCTATAGGGCGCCACCCTACTTACTGTTTTGGGTTGGAGTTGTGGTCCTCTGGCCTCCCAGAGGGCTTTGGATACAGCTCGGAGAGCCCCAGTTTCCTGGTCAAGAAACGGCCCACTGACCGTTTCTGGGACCCTGGTTTTTGAGTGTGGAATTTAAGAAGCATAGATGCTCTCTTACATGGATTGTGAGCCACACCTCACCCCCTGTTTGCTTTTGGAGCTGGGATAGATCTCGGGCTCAGGTCGAAACGATTTCACTTTGGGATTGTCTAGTTGCTTAATTTCATTGAATCTCAGTTCGTTTCTAAAGTGGAATAGTAGTACCTGCTCTGTAGAAGAGTCAAGATTAGGGGCCAGCAGGTGGCGTGGTGGTCAAGGCACCAGACTCCCATATGGCCAACCTTGCCATTCAGGTTCCAAACCTGAACATTTTCCAGCTTGAAAATCATGCCAGGCATGTGAGTGTGCATGTACTCCCCAAATACCAAGGGGAGAATGGAGAAGAAGGGATTGCAGTGTGGCCAGCCCCTCCGGGTGTGATGTCTCACATTCCCGCTCACTGTCTCTCCCTGGCAAGCGTACACACTCTATGACAAAAAAACAAAGTGAAATATAATATATGAAATAAGCGTAGGTGTATGAAGTCGTTACTGCAGTGCTTATCATATAGTACACTCACTAAATGGTAGCTGATATTAATATTAGCTCAGCTGTCACAAGCAATCCTTAATTCAATTAGCTGTATCTGTTGAGCATCTCCTAAGTGCTGGGCACTGCTCTAGGTGCCGAAGTTAGAGCGGAGAACAGAGCAAAGTTCCTGTCCTTATGAAGTTTATGTTCTGCTCGGGAAGACAGTGAACAAACAACCAAAATATCTAATGTATGGTGATAAGTACTACAGAGAAAAATCGGTCAGAGTAACAGGAAAGAGAGTGATGGCTGGGCTGGGAATGTGCTATTGCTTATAAGGAAGCCCCAGAAAGCGATTTTATTTGGGTGTCACTGGAGCAAAGACTTGGAAAACAAAAAATGAGGAATTGTATTAGTTCTATAGTGCTGTGTAACAGATTGCCTCAAGTCTGAGCATTTTTAAAACAACTAACATTTCACAATTCCTGGGATTCAGGAATCCTGGTGGGTGTGCCTCAGGCTTAAGGTTCGTGAAGGTGCTGCGCAGCTGGGGCTGTGGTCTCATCTGAAAGCCTTACGTGGTGGCAGGGTGGGGTCTCAGCCGTGGAGCAGGAAAAGCGGTTAGGCTGTGTGTATATTTTGAAGGTGGAGCTGCCAGGGTTTGCGAATGGATTGGTTGTGGGTGGAGGAGCCTACAGGTTTGCTTCCAGGGGGTGAAAGCACTGCCTTTTTGCTGTCATAATCTTCGTTCCTCGTGTTCTGCCCTTTTGTCCCCCCTCACCCCATAACTCAGGGGTCATGACCTAGCTGTCTCTGAGGCCTGCATTGAAGCTTCCTGGGGACTTGGTCAGGGAGAGTGTGGGCCATGCCTCCCATCCTAACTCTTATTCTGTGAGAATAAATGCCGTATGGGCTGGGAACAAGATGTGCGATGTTGCGTGGTCTTCCGGGGAACACTTTCACAGATACAGGAAACCTCTGTTCTTTCTCTTCCTTTTCTTTTGAAGTTTATTTCTCCTATGAGTGAGACAGAGAGATATATAGAAACAGAGACAGCATCCCCGACAGAGTCTTGACACAGCAGTGCCCTCCCAGTCCCAGCTAGCCCTGGACCATGGAATGCATGTGCCATGCGCTAAGGGATGTCTCTGGGCACGAACCTGAAACCTTCCCATGCAGGTCAGCCTCACAGAGCATTGTGTTTTACCACCGTGTTACCATCTGGCCCAGGAGTTTTCCTCCGTCAGCATTCGCCCTTGTCTCTGTTCCTGCCAGAGTGCCCATTTCCTGTATACATGCCATCATCCCGTAACATGTACTGAGTCCAAGTCCCATGAGAGGTCCTGCAGTATCTTGGGTGAGCATCTAGCCTGCAGGGAGCTTACAGTCAGTAGGCATGCCACTCCCTGGGACCTGGGGCAGAAACTGCTAAGTTCTCAGAAAGAGCTGTGGGATCCAGAAGAAAGATCCTTCCAGGTGGGGTTCCCAGAAGAGGTGACAGGTGGACAGAGCTTTAGAAATGGGAAGGTGGGGTGAGAGCCGAGTGGAGGGCACAGCTGGAGCAAAGGCACAGGGAGGGGTGGTTGGAAGGGTGCAATTGCAGGGAGCCTTGGTGGGCTGCTCGAGGCTTTCATGACACCCTCTGCCATGCTCACCCTGCTGCTGTGCCTCTCATTTCTAGGGCATCATTAACTTGGGCACCAGTGAGAACAAGCTCTGCTTCGACCTGCTGTCCTGGCGGGTAAGTCCCGGGGCACCTCTGGTGACCTCCCCAGCTCCCCTGCCGAGAGCTGTCTCCCCTGCAATGCTCTCCCTGTAAGAGCCTGCTGCTTGCCTTAGTGGTCTCAGCCTAGGAATCGGGGGACCCAGATTCTAGGTCAGTCTTGGGGACAGCTTTCTGTGTGATCTTGGGAGAATCACTTCACCACTCTGATCCTGTTTCGTTCTCTCTTCAGGCTCTTGCACTTAATCCCTCCTGTTGTTCTGGGTCCCCGATTTCCAAGGGAAACGCCCAGTTCTGTGTGATTGGTACTTAGTGACTGGCTGTTCCAGAAAAGAAAGTCCTCCTTTGCCAATTTCCGCAGAGTGAAATCGTGCCATGTGTGATCCCGAGTTACTGATGTGACTTCACTGTGTGCAGACGTGGAGACTGGCACAGTGGCGCACTTTCTGTGGTTGCCCCACCCGTGCAGACGCAGAGACAAATCAGCTCAAGAGCACTAGTAGTAAAGTGTAGTAGCGAATTAGGAGGTGCAGATGTTCAAGTGCTTGGGGATTTTTGTTTGTTTTTAAGTTTATTTCCTCCATGAGCAATAGAGACAGAAAAAGAGAAACAGAGACAGAAAGATCACACTTCACATGTTCCTCAGCCTCACCCTCAGGCTCAGCCAGCCTCAGACCACACACGGGCCTGGTGCACGCAGGGAGGTCTCCAGACTCTGACCAGGTCCCCTCGCATCGTGGGCTGGCCTTACACATTTTACCAGTGCACCACCATCCAGCCCCTGTGCCTTCGTTTTTGAGATAATTTACTTAATTTAAGTTTATATTAACTTTTTTTTTTTAACGGCTGGAGTTTGGTTTTGTTTAGATCTTTGCCATAGGACACATGTACTCTCTGAAGAGAGACACAGAGAGGGAGAGCGAGAAATCATTCTTACTTTCGTCCCTCGGGGGATGGTCATGCCATGGTTCCTTCTCCATTCTCCTCTCAGGATTTTGGGCATGCACATACATGTGCCCAGCATGTTTTTCTCTTTTCTTTTTCAGAGAGATTTTTGCTATAGGGTGTGTGTGCTCACTGGAAAGACAGAGAGACAAAGTGAGAAATCACCCCTCAGGGGAAATGGCGATGCCTCAATCCCTTCTCCTCCATTCTCCTCTTGGGGTCTTGGACACACATGCACATGCGCCCAGCCTGAGTTTCAAGTGGCAGGGTCCAGGATTTGAACTGTGCGGTCGGCCGCGTGAGAGTCCAGTGATATAACCATTACACCATCTGCTGGTTCCCCCAGCATGTTTTTCAAGCTGCCTGCTCTGGGGCATGGACTGTGGAGTGGGCCAAGTAGGATCTAGTGCCTTAACTACCACACTTACCTGCTAGCCCTAAATGGCTGTTTTGAACACAGCTTGCAAAGTTCTTGAAATTTTCATACTCAGATTCTTGAGCTGGTGTGTGCCATCTCTAGCAAACCACTGAGCGTACCTGATCAATGTGTCTCCCAGGCTGTCAGACTGCTCAGTAGAGACAGCAGTGCTTAACCCTAAGGAGCTTATCTACACAGGTGAGTCATCCAAGCGTCAGAGGCAGAGCTTAGAGGGAGTGGGCTCTAAAACTCAGTTTTCCCTAATGCCACTACCTCCTTCTAAAGCAGCTCAGCAGCGAACAGTAAAAGATGAGCCATGTAGATATTTTAAATGTTTTTATTAACAAGTAGGAAGGGGCCAGCAGGTGACGTGGTGGATAAGGTGCTGGACTCCCACATGGCTGACTGCAGTTCGAGTGCCAGGCCAGGCAGCTTGCTTTCTCACTTTCCCCCTCTCTCTCTGTCTCTAGTAAGTGCATGTGCCCTGAAACAAGTTGAAAAACAATAATAATGATAAATAAATTAAATAAAAACAATTCTTTAAAAAAAATGTAGGAAAAGGACTAGCAAATAACAATAATAGCTGCATTGCTAGACCCCTACATAGTTGACCGTGGTTCATGTCCCAGACCCGGCAGCTTAAAACTCCTGCTGGGGGTGTGTGTGTGCATGCCCAAATTCCCGACAGGAGAATGGAGAGGGGATTGCAGCATGGCCATCGTCCCCGGGGGGGAATTTCTCACTTTCTTTCTGTCTCTCTGGTGAGTGTAAGTGCTCGAGAGCAAAAAATCTCTCTGGAAAAAAAAAAGGGGAAAAAACTTGGTAAAATTAATTTTGATAGTACATTTTATTTAGCCTAAAATATCAAAGACGTGTAGTGCACATAAAACTAGATAATGATGCATTTTGCCTACTTTTCATACCAAGCCTTCAGGGCCGGTGGTTCTCCTTCAGACCAGCCAGTTTCAAGTGCTCAGTACCACGTGTGGCTGATAGCTCCCACGTGGGAACAGTGGTATAGAAGAGGCCCATTCCGTTCCTTCCTCTGCTCTTACTGCCCAGGACCCCTGCATTGGCCTGTCCTTGGCGTGGTCCCTAGGGATGCCCAGGAGTTACTGACCCAGCACCTGGGCTTGGAGGGCTGGTCCAGAAACTGCCATGTTTTCCAAAGGAGAGGTCGAGCTGAGTTTGCAGCAAGATGGTGGCCCGAGTTCCTCCAAATAGTGGCACCAAGACTGAGGTGGTAGCACCCCGTCCTGGGGCCTCATCGTCACCCCACAGAGAAGCCAAGTGTCCACAAACCTGCCTCTCTAGTTTTGTAGGTGGTGGTGTGGTATGAGGAGTCCTGCAATCAGACATCCTGGGGTCTGTCTCCGCTCTGCTGCTTGCTAGCAGCGACCTCGCTGTCTCCACTCGTGGAGCCTTAATTTTTCATCGGCAAAACGAGCATGAGTGTCAGCCCTGGGCTGTGCCTCTCGAAGTCTCTCCTATGAGCAGGCCTTGGCCCTCGACGCCCTGGTGCTGTTGAGTGTGGTGGCAGTGCTGGCCTCAGCCCTATTCTCTCCTCTGTCCCCAGCTGAGACAGAGCGACATGCTTCAGGTGGAGCCATCCCTGCTGCAGTACGGTGACTGGAGGGGACATCTGTTGTAAGTAGCTGCCGTAGGCCAGTGGTTCCTGATGTGGGGTGATTGGGCGCCCTGGACTCTATGGCAATATTCCAGACGGTCAGACATTGGGGTAGGGGTGCTCTCGGCACTCGGTGGGCCAAGGTAAGGGGTGCTCCTAAAGCACTCGCAGTGCATAAGCAGCTCCCCATGCAGTTATGCAGCCTCCAGTGTCCATGGTGACCAAGGGGTGCTCCTAAAGCACTCGCAGTGTACAAGCAGCTCCCCACGCAGTTATGCAGCCTCCAGTGTCCATGGTGACAGGTGGGGAAGCCTGCCATTGGCGAGGGCCTGGTGGCCATGGGTCTCCTGGAGCAGTGATCTCCTACCTTTTTGGCATGAGACTCATTTTGTGGAAGACAGTTTTTCCCCAGATGTGATTCGAGGTTTATGAGAGCGCAGCCTAGATCCCTTATTGCATGTGCAGTTCACCGGAGGGTCCGTGCTCCTGTGAGGGTCTAACGCACACCGATCCAGCAGCGGGTAGAGCTCAGGCGGTACTGCGGGCCGGGGGAATGGCTGGAAATACGGCTGGAGCTGTGCTCACTCACGTGTCATGATCAGGACTGGGGACCCCTGTCCTGGAGCTTCTACAGGGATCTGGTGCCTCCTGCCAGTCCCGTCCCAGCTCATGGGCCCCCAGCTTGGCTTCTGTGACCCGGATGTGAGGCATGGGAAGGTCTTTAGGCAATCTGGCCCTGCTTTCTCAGTGACTTTGTAGAAGCCAGAGTCTGTGTTGGAGAGCTGGCTGGGGCTTTTCCTAATGGGACCATGGGAGGGGTAGATGATGCTAACCATAGCTCGTACCTGCTGAGCACTTCCTGGGTCAGACACGGTTCTGAGGACTTAGTGGCCAAGCAGGACTCGGTCCCAAGACTGATAGCAAGGCACATGGCTTTATACACAGTTAGGATGGCGACCTGAGTGGGGACTTTGCGCTTGCTATCAAGTGGCTTAATCCCTTCTAACCTCGGTTTCTTTGTCTGTAAAGTGGGGGTAATACAAGAGGCATATCATAGAATTTTTAGAAAGATTACACTGGCAGGGTCTCCAAGAACATCTGTATAAGGCAACTGTCCAGTCCATGTGATCCGTAACAACTATGGTAACAGTTAACGCCTTTTAAAAATGAGTTATTTTAGTTTTCGTTATTATTTTTTAATTTGATGAGAGAGAGAGCAAGCAGGAAAGTGAGAAAGTAGGCCTCCAGATCCGAGACTCAAACCGTGGTCAGCCATGTGGGAGTCCAGCGCCTTAACCACCTGCCTGCCCTGCTTTATGAACATTATTTATTTCATCGTATTTGTTGTTATTGTTTTGTAGTTAACTCTAATAATAATGGCGTTTGAGTCGCTCGCGATACCTCTCCTGATTAGGCGGGGCTAGGTGTCCTGGAACTGCTGAGAAGGGACGCTTCGGGTCCTGTGGTAGTGGAGGTGGGGGTGTGGGCCGTGGACACAGACACTGGCCAGCTCTCCAGCGGGAAGTGGCTGCCTGAAGGCTCACTGGGGAGCTCGGGCTGGATTGTGGGCCGCGGACTCTCTGGCAAGCCCTGCCCGCCTGCCCGTCTCATCCGCAGCCTCCGGGAGGAAGTGGCCAAGTTCTTATCTTTCTACTGCAAGAGCCCAGCACCCCTCAAACCAGAAAATGTGAGCAGCCCCTCCTCTGCTCTCCCCTGCTTCTCCCTGCTTTCCTCCCCACCCCCACTTCTACCCCTCCCCCCAGCTTTTCTAGCTAAGGGTAAGGTGGTGTGGGGTCTGCCTGTCACTTAGTTTGGGTTTGTTTCAAACTGGCTTTGGGAGTACCTTCTCCCGTCCTTTCCTCTAACCCTCAATATTTGGAGTTTGGGTAGAATTCCACTCACTGTTGCTCTGGGGCCCCTCTTTGCCCACACTTCCCGGTAAGACCCTCTCAGTGACCACTGCCCTTTTGCTTGCTCAGTTGACCTGGAGCCAGATCCCCATGGATGGGCTTGGCTGTTAGTCAGGAAGGGCCTTTCCTATGGCCCAGGGGCTCCAGGGGCTCCAGGGGCTCCAGGGACTCCAGGGACTCCAGGGACAGCCCTGCCTGCACTCTGCTCTATCCCGGGATGGAGGCCACTGTCCTTACTGCCTTCTGGGATGATTCATCTGTGTCCCGTGGGCGTGTCACCCTCAGGTGGTGGTTCTGAACGGCTGTGCCTCGCTCTTCTCTGCTCTGGCCACGGTGCTGTGTGAGGTGGGGGGTAAGTGAATGCCACCGACCCTCTGTGCTGGCAGCTGCATTGTGCCTGCAGCATATCCTGTCCCCTGGCCCCGAGGGCTGCATTAATGTTCTTTCCGCCATGGTAGAATATACTAGAATATAAGTGAGTGGTTTGGCAAGACAACCAGAAATTGGTGGTTCCAGAGTCAGCATGACATCAGGGTTCTGGGCTTTCTC